TACTGGGGGCCCTTACTCAGCCCACTGCAGAGGGAATGGATTGGGAGACTGGGAAATGGCTTCGATGAGTTCCCCTGTCGCTGCACGTGAGCAGGGTGGGTGCCGGCTCTGGTTCAGAGCTCAGATACTTCCCTTTCCCTACGAGCCAGCAGTACCCCTGCCTCTGCATCTGTGACCCAGCCTGCTCTTTGACAGAAGGAGAAGAAGAATGTTGTCAGTAGAAAAATCATTTGGACAAAACTATTTTCTTGGAAAGGTATACATCACCTCGTTTTCCTTCCTTCTGATAAAAGGGATTCACCATCTTCTGGCAATTTATGCAGAAACTGCACTGTGTGTGATCTCCCCTGCCCTTTGCTGATTAGGCTGGCGTATTTAGGTCATGTTGGAATTCGTTAGAATTCTGAGTACCTGGTAATCCTGAACAATGTTGCTGAAATTCACTGTCTTTTTTTTTAAAAATTCTTCTCAAAGTGAAAATGTGAATAGCATATGAATTACGCTAGAAAACTGTTTTCATTATATTGTCTCTCCTTGTGCAGCATGAGATAATCATGGTTTAAAAACAACACGTTCTCTCCTTTGATACATAGGATATAATGAGCACATATGGCTTTGAGAACTCATTAAATCACCTTGCCACTTCTGACAGGTGGTCCAGTGCTTGCTGGGGCTCGAAAAGGAACATGACATAGACGTCAGTGGCACCGACACGCTGTGGGGAGAAACAGGTAATTGCGGTTCCTCTTCTTGTAGATGGGCCAGCTTTGTGATGTCTTAGCCCGCATTTTGGCCTAGTTGCCTTAAGAATGGCTTGGGGTGCGTCTAGTCCTCCTGTTACTTTATCACAAAGCATTTGAAGTGTAGAGCTTTTAAAACTTCCCAAATGACTGGTAGAACTTTTCTAAAAGCAAGTACAGTTTCAGTTTGAATCATTTTGAATTAGACTAGCTGTCCCTGTGCATCTGATGCACGTTGGCTGGAAGTACGCAAATAAGGTGGTGGTTTCTGCTTTGGCGAGTTTTCTCATGTCCTAACCAACCTGGGCTTCCTGAGTCGTGCAGAGTGAGCAGGCCAGGAACTTTAGCCCCATGTTCGGATGGATCAAAGGTGCTCAGCGAGGAAGGCTCCGACCTGCTTTCTGGAAGGAGAGTGGGACTGATTCTGCTTGAAATGCTGAACACCAGCTCCCCAGTCCATCTCCGTTGGTGGGGGTGGAGGGGAGTGGTGTTTAACTGTAGTGTGGGAAGCAAGGTGGAGACCAATACATCTTAATGAAGATCTGAGTTGGTTACTCGTCAGAAATTAATATAAATGATGCTGCTTTGAAATATTCCACTTGATTGAATTGGTACTAGAAATATAAGACTTGAAGTTATCAGCTGTAACCAGGAGTGTTTCATATGCATTTCCAGGCTGTGTCCTGTGTGTGTACGTCGTATGAATGACTTCCATTTCTCTTGCACAGATTTATTTCCAAATGCTTCTCAGTTATTTCCTAACAAGCCAAATGGTAGTGTGCAGAGCCCCTCTGCTGACTTAAACTTAGGAAAAGCCTCCGAGTTTCCTGGCGGGGAGCACAGGCTCATGCTTGGGGCTTACAACCCTGGTTGTAGCAATGTGGGGGGAGGGGAGTGCAGGACTCCCGCATGGGGTTGGATTATGCCTGGGGCTAAACGCATGTAGATGTAAATATGGGCCTAATTCCTTGTGGAGTCCTCCCTCCGCCTACTTTATAGTACAGGCGGCTCTGTAATGTGGCGAGAGGAGAGTTTCCACCACTTCCACATTGTGTTGTGGGGAAGCAGGAAGCTGAAAAGGTGGGTGCGTGACTTTCTTCGTGCTCAGCTAGAAGGTCCGAATCCCTGCCTTCCACTGCCTGGTTATCAGCCTCGGGTGGGTAATGTTGCCTCTTTGTCAAATGAGGTAAATACGTACCTGCTTCTAGGATTGTTGGTGAGGACTCAATGAGACGAGACAGTCTTGGCCAGATGTACCTAATGATCAGAACCCCTGGGGCAGCTGAGCCTAGAAATTCTGATTCATTAGGTCTAGGGTGAGCCTAGGACTCTCTTCTAACAGGCATCCGGGTGGTTTCAGGTGGCTCATGGCTTCAGGACAAGTGGAGAACCACTGAGAGAAGGAAGGTCCCTGCCTCACAGTGACATGTACTGAGAGGTCCCAGTGGCGATGATGAGGGTCGGCGCTGGTGGTAGTGACGGCCCACACTTAGCTCGAATGAGAATCTCCAACCTTTAATATTAAAGATGTTTTTTTCTTTCTGGAAGAAAAAAATCCAGAGAAGCAGATAAGGGCTGCATTTTGAGGACTGTGTGTGAGTGGTCTGTTTGGTCTTGAGATGACCAGTCCTGAGTTTCAGTCACCACCCCCTCCCACCCCTTGAGACTCGCTGGGTTGCTGGCTGAAGAGCCGCGTAAGAGAAACTGCAGATGCCCGTCCGTCTTAATGAAAGGATGGGTTAAAGTTCAGCCCCTCCCTTCCAGAGCCTCCTGCATAACCTTCAGACCACTTTGCAGCCTGAGAAGCAGGTCACCCCTTTCTTCAGGCGGCATTAATTAAGGTGAATTTCTTCAACCGAGAATTTGAGAGACATTTTACAAAATGTAAACGAAGAGAAAGCTAAGTGCTGTTGCTCAGACTTAGAGGTCCCAGCAGCTCTGTGTAGACTGCATGTCCATAAAACCAGTCTTGCCTGCTCTGCATTTTTCTCTCTGATACCTTTCTCCTGTGTGTTTTCAAAAACGTCCGCTAGCCCAGACTCTCCTAATTTTCATGTCTGTGGTTGTCGGAGGAATATTTTGACATCTTGTAGAGGGAGTCTTAGATGAGAGAACACCTGCAAATGTGGGCTTTGCTCACAGATGTGCAGCATTGCCCAGGTCGTGAGGTCTGTGTTTGGGATTCGGCCCTGTAGGGCCCACTTCACCCAGCTCCGAGTGCCTTCTGGAAGAGGAGGCCCTGAGGATGGTGACAGTGTGAGTGCGCGGGTCAGCTTACAGCCCTTGCTCTCACCAGGCTGCCACCGGGCGTTCTGCAGCCTGGGTGGGCCGCGCTGCTCCGTGCGCTGCTTCTAACTGCCGGGGCCCTCGGAAGTGCACGCGGTGGTTTTGCTTCCTGCCTTTGTTTGGTCCTCCTTGCTCAGCGTAATCAGTGGAGCTCTGTGTCTGAAACACCCTAGAATAGAGCTGGGCTGTCTCCAGCCACAGCTTGAGGGTAGGAGCCCAAGAGCGATCCTGTCTGGGGCGTGGGAGGTGACGGAACAACCGGAAACTTTGTGTGATTAATGCAGTTCGTTATTTCTCCTTGACCCTTAACATGGGTTCATGCAGGTCTGTTCAGTATAGGTTAGCTATGCACAGCTTGGCTCTAAAATACCCGCTGATGGGGTTACAAGGCAGCGTCTCCGTGGTCTGTTCTTGGCTCACCTGCCCATCTTTGAAGGGCCTGTTGGTTTCCAAGCAGCCGTGCCCCCCTTTTTGGAGCACAGCTACCTGTCCATCTCTCCTCTCACAGCCACATTCCCGAAGTGGGGGCACTTAATCAGTGCACAAAGTCCTCTTCCGCTTTTCGGCCAGGAGAGACCCCTGCGATCCCAGGGGATCTGCTTCACGTTGCAAAAGTGTGGTTTTCATGCCTGTTGCTGACTGGAACCGACAGGTCTTCCATGAGAGATGATGATGGCTGGCAGCCAGGGAGGAGGGAGCCCAGGGAACACGGACCCCTGGGAGACCCCTCCTCACTCGGGCAGTCCGTGCGGGGGTGGTGGCAGCAGGCTCGGTCTTGTGCCTTCAGTGCCCTGAGCATCTCCCTGCTGATGACCTGGAGTCACCAAATGTCACCCTAGAAGGGGATGATTCCTGTCTTAGGTGTAAATAGACAAGACAGTATATAGTAGATTTTTAAGACATTTATCAAAAATGGTAGCAATGCTTACTTTGGGGATTTATTGCAGTAAATCTAAGAACTTTTAGAAAAATTGCAGAATATAGACGTGCCTTGGAGGTACTGTGGGTTCAGTTCCAGACTGTGGTAATAAAGTGAGTATCACAATAAAGCAAGTCACACACATCTTTTGGTTTCCCAGTGCATACAAAAGTTACATTTACGCAGTACTGTAGTCTAGTCCATTCAGTTTGCGGTAGCATTATGTCTTTAAGAATGTACATACTTTAAAAATACTTTATTGCTAAAGAAATGCTAACCATCATCTGAGCCTTCAATGTGTTGTAATTTTTTGCAATAGTAACATCAAAGATTACTGATCACAGGTAACTATAACAAATATGTAATAATGTGAAATTTGAAATATTACAAGAATTATCAAAATGTGAGACAAAAACAAAGTGAGCAAATGCTGTTGGAAAAATGGTGTCACTAGACTTGCTTTGACTCAAGGTTGACACACATCTTCAGTCTATAAAAAATACAGTATCTGCGAAGTGCAATTAAACAAGGTATCTTGTATTTCTACCAGTTTTGGAGAACAGAGAGCTTAATTTATGTAAGTTTCCCTTTGCACCAGCAAGTGGAACCATTTGCTTTTTGTGTCTGTTTGATGCTTAGATCCAGCCCTTCAAAAATCAGTCCTGTAGCTCTTAGGTGCTTCCCCTTGTGCTCACTCAGGTGAAGGAGTGTGACAGGCACTCAGATGGAGGAGGCGTGAGAAGCTCCTAGGTGTGTCTCCAGCTCTACCCTTTGCTCAAGGCATTCACACGCTTGGTGGGATGGTCTTGATCCCATGGTCTCTGGGCAGCCTGGACCAGGACCAGAACCCATCAGATGCTGGTGTGATCTCTGTCTCAGGCGTTCCACATCCCAGGAAGTCCTGACCTAACTGGTTACTGTTTCCTTGTCAGTGTTTGATGGGAATCAGCCCAAACTGAAATGAGTGAGATGCCTAACTGGTGACCTCATGCTGTTGTGAATTGTCAGTGGAGCTGCGCTTCCAGCTCCAGGCAGCCCTCAAGGCTGTAAGCCTGCTGTCTGCTTCTGGTCAGACTTCTCTCTGTATATTATAGGGGAATAGAGGCCCTTCTATTTCAGCATTTGCCTTTTTTTTTTTTCGTGTACATATGCCTCTCTTATAAGCAAAGCCTTCCCAGCCCTGACTTCTCGGGGTCACTTGGCAATTTCCTTCGTAGTACATCTCACTTACAATTTTGATTGTTGATATTGCTTGTTTGGCAAAAGCCTGTTGTCCCCAGATTGTGGGCTTCATGAGGGCAGAAATTTCCAGGTCTCTTGTGCTCATCTCTGTGAGGTGACTGTGTCTGCTCTAGTGTTGTCTGGTAGAACTTTCTGTGATGATGGAAAGAAATGCTCGCTCTCTGTGCTGTCCTATCCGGTGTCCACTAGCCGCTGACCTTGTCTGGTGCTTGTTACGTAGGTGTTAACTGAGCGGACAGGAGGGTTTAAAGAAAACAAAGCTATGTAACTTTTAGCGTAGGTGACGTTTACTTTGCAGAAAATCTGGGAGGAGTTTTGTTGTGGGAGGGGAGTGGTGAGGAGCCTGGTTGCTCATAGGAACACAGTCCTCTGGTGTCTTTGTGTCTCTCATAGCTCAGGTCATGTCTTGCTGGATTCCAGGCAGGCTTAGATGCTCTCAAACCCATTATCAGTGTGGTGGGTGCTGGGTTGCATCTTTGGGAACAAGACTGTCAGCCACCACTCATAGCGTGGACACAGCTGACAGGCCAGAATGGCCTCTGCC